CCCCCCCCCCCCCCCCCGCAGCTACTCCGATTCTCGGGTAGAACCCAGCATCCCTTTTGTTTTTTACCTTTCCCAGCTGATTCTAATCAGCAGCCGGGTGGCAAATCACTCCCAAGTCTGTCAGCTCCTGGGCAGGCAAACTTTTCTCCAGTTTGTATCCCAGGCACCCAACATGGTGCTCGGCCCATAGGTGCCCAGAGAGTATGTGTTGAATCAGTTAATGAAGTCACCGGTTCAGATTTCCCCAAACACAGAGCACTAGTTTTATCAAACAAGTCCTCAGCTTACCTGTAAAATACTCCACTCCTTGCTCCAGCTCCTGGAAAATCTTGTCCGCTTCAGCTTTGCCAAACAGGACTGTGTAATCACAGCTCAGGCCCTCGGCTCGGATGTGCCGCCAGCTGGGGCCTGCATTCCCTGGGGTTTCTGCCCTGGGCCTCTTCCTGCTGCTCTCCTCCTCTCCTCTCGGCCCTGCTGGGCCTTCTCCACTCACCTCTCGCTCCCTCTTTCCCAAAAGGCCCCCTAAAGCCCCCTTCACCAGGAACCTGTCCATTCTGTCTCCCTAAAGCAAAGGCCTGGGAGTCGGCAGCAGGGCAGAGAAAGATTGCCCAGGCTCTGTCCCAGATGCAAAAAATTGGCTTGGTGGCCAAGTGGGCCCACAGAACTTCTCGGTGTTTTCAAGTTCCCACTTTTAACACCATGTCCTAGAAAGGAAGTAGAGGATGTTGAAGTTGGAAGGGTCGCTCAGCATGTCCTGGGTCCCCCACACCTGGCTATGCATCACAGTCAGCTGGCTGGCTTGCAAAACCCCAACTGCCTGCATTCCACCCACCAAGCACCTGACCTTTTCAAGAATGCCCACCCTGGCACGCCTGGACAAGGGAAGGGGTTTGCCTAAAGTCACCCAGAGAAGCAGATTCCCGGTCTCCTTTCCCCCGACTACTGACCGGCCCTCCCACGCCAGTATCCCCTTAGGTAAGTATAGTGATCCTGGAACGGCTAGGATTCAGAATCTGATCCCAAAACAGTTACACGTGGTCACACGCACGCCGAACTCCGACAGAAAATAAAGACTGTGACACCGAGCAGGGGGCGGAGCCTCTCTTCGACACCGCAGACAGCGGCCGTGCCGCCCCGAGCCCGGCAAACACCGGAGGCGGGGCTGGCGGGAAAGAGGCAACACCGGGGCCGCAGCGTCACTTCCGGGTGGATTTCGGGGGCCCGCTGGGAAATGTAGGCACCTCGGCGAAACAGTGCGGCGAGCGGCTCCCTGGTGCCACCTGTTGGTCTCCTCGGCGCGCTGCGGGCACTGCAGGTTTTCCGCCTAGCCACTTACTCCCTGGGGAGGTGGGCCACCCGGTGGGAGCTCGACCCCATGGCTTCTGTATTCGTCTCCACCCCTCGGGCTATGTGGTTCTTGCAGGTCGCTTACCGTCCCTGGGCTTGAATAGCTTCCCCTGCACGGTGGGGGCTATAAAACCTCCGCGGTGAGAGCACTGTGAGGATTAGATGACAAGATGGGCCAGGAATGCGTCCGGGCTCCAAATAAATGTCAGGTTCTGTTACTGCTCTTCATTTTTGTTGAATCTCTGTCTCCCCCAGTGCAATGAAAGCTCCGTGGGATTCGGGGCCTTTGTTTTTAATCTTCTTAGTGCGCGGTTCTGCAGATTTTGACAGAAGTACACAGCTGTGTGACCACCACCACGATCATGATCCGGAGTGGTTCTGTCACCCCACAAAATTCCCCCAAGCCTTTTAGTTAGAAACTCGCCCTCGCCCGATGCTAACCCCCGAGCCCCTGGCCATCACTGAGCAGTTTCCTGTCTCCATAGTTCCGTCTTTTCCAGAATTTTTTTTATTTTTTTATTTCTTTTTAAAGATTTTATTTATTTATTTGAGACACAGAGAATGAGAGAGAGAGAGAGCACATGAGAGGGGGGAGGGTCAGAGGGAGAAGCAGACTCCCTGCCGAGCAGGGAGCCCCATGCAGGATTCGATCCAGGCACTCCAGGATCATGACCTGAGCCGAAGGCAGTCGCCTAACCAACTGAGTCACCCAGGCGCCCTCCAGAATTTTTTTTAAAGATTTTATTTATTTCAGAGAGAGAGAGAGAGCACAAGCAGGGGGAGCAGCAGAGGGAGAAGCAGGCTTCCCGCTGAGCAAGGAGCCCGATGTGGAGCTCCATCCCAGGACCCCGGGATCACGACCCCAGCGGAAGGCAGACACTTAACCTACTGAGCCACCCAGGCGCCCCTTTTCCAGAATTTCTTATGAATGAAATCATACAATAGATAGCCTTTGACGTCTGGCCTTTCGTTCAGCTTAATGCTTTGAAGCTATACCCTTGTTTGAATCGGTTGTTTTATTGCTCAGCAGCATTCTGTTGTACGGATGCCCCACAGTTTGTTTACCCACTCACCGAACAGCCCCCCACCGCCCCCCTCCGTCGAGGGACCTTTGAGTTGTTTCCAGCTTGGGGCAATTACAGGAAGTTACTATATCCACTCCGGTATAAGCTTTTCTGTGAATGCAGATTTTAATTGCACTTGGGTGAACACCTGGGAGTGGGATTACAGGCGTACATGGTGTTATGTTTCACTTTGTACCCAAACTGAGATGTATTTCGAAGTGGCTGTAAGGGCACATGATTTTGAGTTATGAGCTTCTGCCCTGACACACCAGGCTCCTTGCCCTAGGCGCTGGAACACGACCGTAATGAGGATAAAGTCCCTGTGATGTAGTTTCTGGAATATGGGTGAGGTTCGGTGGGGTCCAGAGCTGACGGCCAAGAAAGGATTCTTGAGATGTGTTGGGTGCAAAATGGTGGTTTTATTAAGGCATGGGGACGGGACCCATGGATAGGATGAGCTGCTAATGCCTTCTGGTCCCCACCGCCCCGGGACCATGAGGAGCAACTGACTATATACTTTGGGGTTGCGGGAAGAAAAGATCAGGGGAGTTCCAAAAGGATTCTCATATGCTAAAGAGGACTCATCGGATACCGGAGGCCTTGCCACTGTCAAACTAAGGTTGCTTTTCCCTCTAACAAGGAAGGCATTGACAAAGACCGTTTGGAGCTTCTGGGAGGAACATTATATACTCTGCCAGCCTCAAGTATTTGTCAGTGGGCTGCAGGTTATAAGGACATTTAATTTTATCTATGTTTCCTTCTGCCTTTGTTTCCCACCTCATCTGCCCTCAGCAGGGTTAAATTTTTGGAGATGGGAGACAAACAAGCCAAGAATGCATAAGATAATTTAAGATAGTACAGAAGCTATTGTGTTGGTCACACAATAGCTAGAATGGGGGGGGGGGGAGGAGAAGGCCTTCCAGAGGAAGGGACCTGAGTTGAGACCCAAAGCTTACCAGGTAGGGGACAGTGTGTGCAAGAGAGTACAGGCCACACAAGGGATAAGCTGGCTGTCACCTCACAGGAGTTAAGGGCTTGGGTTACAGGGACACAGCTCGGCCGGTGGGATAAGAAGCTGGGGTTTATTCTAAAACTTGGAAACTGCAGGGAGGATTTTTACCTGGGGATTACCATGATGTAATTTACATTTCAAAAGGATCACTCTCCTAAGAAAGAGGAGAGCCGCCGGGGATTGTAGCCAGGTGATGAAGAGCGGCAGTTGAATCCGGGATTTATTTTGCATATAGAACCAAGAGGACCCGCTGTCGGTTTGGATGTGGGGAGGGAACGAACGCGGGAACAAGAAGGATGGCAGGTGCACGGGGCTTGCGGGGGTGCCTTGAAGAGGATGCAGACTTTGGAGTTTAATCTTCAGGACCTCAGTTAAAGTCTCCCCCAGACCTTACAGGTTAGGCAAAACGCAGGACCGCACTTGGCGCTAGTTTACGGCCAGTAAAATAGGTTGTGAAACTGGATGAGAGCAAAACAAACGACTGGTTTAATGCTGATTTCACTCCCACAACAACCCCTCGGGTAGGTACTTTTTTCTCCTTTTCACCCGCGGTAGAGGTGGAGGGACGGGCTCCAAGGCAGGGGTGTGATGACTTAGTACAACGAATGAAAGAGTAAGCACAGGAGCTAACGCACCCAAAGACCCCGCCTACCACCTGAGGCTTCCAAGCCCCACCTGGTCCCAGAGGCGTCCCGCGCAGCCCCTCCAGCACATGCGCACTAGGGCCCCCGCCGCCCCCCACCACCCCCAGCCCCCCGCCCACCCCCGGTCGGAGCATGCGCGGGGCGTTTGGCGCCAATTTCGGACAGCCGCAGCTGGCGCATTACCGCGGGTTCTCCGGGCGGCGCGCGTCCGCTCTCCTCGGCTCCGGGATGATCGGCCAGAAGACCCTCTACTCCTTCTTCTCCCCGAGCCCCGCCGGGAGGCGACGTGCCCGCAGTCCCGAGCCGGCCGACCCGGGGACCGGCGTGGCATTGGTAGCTGAGGAGAGCGGGGATGCGGCGGTGAGGCGCGGCGGGGACCGGGCACCGGGGGCAAGGGACGGGGAGGAGGGCGACGGGCCCCGCTCGGCCGAGGGGTTGCAGGGACGCGCCACCGACTCGGTAACCTGGGTCCCTGCGTTCAAAAGCGGACTGCACGTGTTCAAAACAGCCTGTGCCGTTCCCCGTCGGCGGCCATTCTGAGGGGCCAGCCAATGGAGATGGGCCTCGGGGCCCACGGCGCCAATCAGAGGCGAGGGGGCCGCCCTGCTCTGCCCGCCGTCCAATCAGAGGGGAAGGAGGCGGGACTCACTCCGGGAGGTTTTTGCCGCGAAAGGACCACGTGGGAACGCGGGAGGGGGCGGGGCGACGGGGTCAGGACCTCCCTTCCCGCCAACGCCGCGGTAGACGTCGCGGGCTTTGCTCACCGCCGCTCTCCCTGCTGCAACTTAGTACCAAATTCAAGACTGGGGGCAGCGGTGCCTTCCCGGACCTGACTCCCAGAGTCCGCTTTTGCTGCGACTTGCCGCGTGGAGGCGGCAGCCCCGCGAATGGGCGTGCTCCGCAATGGGCCGTGGAGTTGGGGGCGGCAGCTGCGGGCGCCTGGGCCCCGCCCGCTGCAGCTCCTGACCCGCCTGTTCGGGGACCACTTGCAGGTCAGCCCCCCCAAGAAGGCCCGGGCCGGGCAGGAGGACCCCGGCACGCCGCCCTCCTCGCCGCTGAGCCCCGAGCAGTTGATCCGCATCCAGAAAAACAAGGCCGCGGCCCTGCTCAGACTCGCTGCGCGCAACGTGCCGGTGGGTTTCGGTGAGAGTTGGAAGAAGCCGCTCAGCGCAGAGTTCGGGAAACCGTATTTCATCAAGGTAAACCTGGAGGCTGCGGGCCCTTCGGTCTTGCTAGGATAGCTTGCGGAGAGTCCACGTTTGTAGGCTCCTGTATTCCCTCTCTTAATTCCTTTTCCCGGTAAGAGTTAGGTAAAATAACAGCCACGGTGTTTGGCGTTCGTACGCTTTATTGAATTTTTTTAAAAGACTGTAAGGTGGCATGGCTTTTTGTAAACCATTCGGCGGTTCTGCTCTCCAGGAAAGGGCGGCACAGTAAAACCGCAAACCGGACTGCTTGAAACCTGGTGCAGCCTTTACAAAAAGAGGGAGGGCCTGTCACCCAATAGGAAGTGAAAGCAGCGAGACCAATCAACGTAGACCCGGTCCAAACAAAGGGGAAGGGCACCGAAGCGGAGGGACATCTTTGGTGACCTGCAAGTCTGGTTTTTATTTCTCAAGAGAATTTGGATGTACAATGTGGCGGAGAGCCAGATAATGCTCCGGGTTAGCTTCCACTGTTAGCTTCCTTATTGGATTCTTAACACTTGGCGGTGAGAATCTGATTTGAAATCTGATTTGTCTTTACGTCAGCTAATGGGATTTGTCGCGGAGGAAAGAAAACATTACACTGTTTATCCACCCCCACACCAAGTCTTCACGTGGACCCAGATGTGTGACATAAGACATGTAAGTACAGGTTGGGGGTGAGTTTTAGTAAAAAGAGGCATGGGAGTCAAACAGTATGTACTCGTTAGTTACGGACGCTGCAGGCAAGTGCCTGTCCGTGGTGGAATAATAAATAAAATAATGAAATTGTGAAGTTTGGCGGGCTATGTTTTAGCCTGTTAGCTTTCTAACTTGAAGCATGTGCTGGCAATGCAGCAAAAAAGGAAATGTCTGTACATAGACCTGTGTCTGTATACTCAAGTTTTTTGCATTTTATTTAATCCTGAAACCAACGGCATACCAACGTTAGGTCTTTTTGTGGTGATGTTGAGGAAACAGGCATGAAGCACTGAGGTCTTTTGCAACTGGTTAGTCCACCCCTCACCTTAACTTGCAGCTCCGTATTCTATCTTTTATAGTTGACGCTTTCAAGCTCTTGACTTCTGGCCCAAACAGTTTTACTGTTTTACTAATCCAATAGGATTAGTGTCCTTATAGAAGAGACCCTAGAGGGGCGCCTGGGTGGCTCAGTCGTTAAGCGTCTGCCTTCGGCTCAGGTCATGGTCCCAGGGTCCTGGGATCGAGTCCCGCGTCGGGCTCCCTGCTCCCTGCTCCTTGGGAGCCTGCTTCTCCCTCTGCCTCTCTCTCTCTCTCCCTCTCTGTCTTTCATGAATAAATAAATAAAATCTTTAAAAATAAATAAATAAATTTGGTATTAGTTTGTGCCTTGTTTGAGCTGTGGGTCCTGTTTTGAATACCAATCACCAGTGTCAACAGGGAGGAATAGGAGAGCGTGAAAGTGCCGAGGATCAGATGGCCCAGCGAGGCCGCTTCACAGAGAAGCATGTGGAAGGTCGGGGAGGTGGAGTGGCTCCTTCAAGGTCATCCCTTATGCAGGACCAGAACCCAATAGCTGCCCTGCTGGGATAGGCTGCTTCATGAGGGAGAATCTCCTGCGTTCAGAGTGAGCACCAATGGTAGCAACAGTGAGGTCCACAAAAGGTCCCTGATGTCTGAAGGTTAGGTTTTGGGAAGGATGTAGTCTGTGTGGGCTACGGGAGGGTTCTGAGAAGGAACACCATGGACAGAAGCAGGAGAATGACGAGGAGGTGGGCAGGCAGCAGATCAGAAGGACTAGCTGTATCTTAAAACTGCCAGTGACCTTGATCTCATTACTTTCATTGCATGTTGCCACCTTCTCCATGACCTCATTCTCTCTGGTTTCATCCCTCAGAGGATGTGGGGGGAAGAGGCGTCTTCCTATGTGGCTGGTAGGGAATTTGAATAGCTTCAACTCATTGAAAAAGCAATTTGGTACATGTCTATGCAGATTTAAAATACACTTGTCCTTGGACCAGCACCTCCTATTTTGAGTCTGTTCCATAGAAATAAAAACAACAGGATGTAAAGATAACATGTACTAGAGTGTGTTTATAGAATTGTTTTTTTGTGATGGAAAAAACTAGGAAATAAGCCAACTAGCTATCAGTGAGAACTCTGGGCATTGAAGGATGCCTAAAAAGCATGATGTGAGAACTACAAAAATGTAGGGTGATGAGTACCATCACCCCAGTTATATAGGTAATTTTACAGGGTTGAAGCAGGAAGGGGAGAGGGATGAGTGGAGACAACAAGCCACTTTATGTGTTTCTGGATGGTCGTACTTGGGCAAGGGCATATTTTTGTAATCTGAAAAAGGAAGGAGGTGGACTTATTTTCACACACCTGCATCAGAGAAGGAGTAGGGCCGTGTAGCAGGTGATGGAGTGGAAGATGACTTGACAGTGGAAATTAATGGGGCCCAGTCACCCACTCCCTTCTGGGGGTTCTTAGTTTGGGTCGGGGAGAGGGGGGGCTGCCTTTCTCATCATCATGGTCCTTTGTACAGGTTATCAGCCAGGTGTTTGTTTAACCTGCTCGTGAGACAGTATTTAATTTCTTGCCACCTGGTATTCACAGGTGAAGGTTGTCATCCTGGGACAGGATCCGTATCATGGACCCAACCAAGCCCATGGGCTCTGCTTTAGTGTTCAAAGACCCGTTCCACCGCCACCCAGGTACGATTGCTTGACAGATGGCTCGGGTCCAAGTGTAATTACTTTCAGATGTGTACTTTGCAGGCTCTAGGTACACTTGTTGGGGGGACTTTCAGTAGCCTTTGGAGCAGGATTTCTCCATCTTGTTACTGTTGACATCAGGGCTTTGGGTGTTTGTGCAGGAGAGGTTTTGTTCTGTGCACTCACTGTAGGATGCTGAGCAGCATGCCTGGCCTCACCCACGAGATGCCAGCGGCAACACCCCCGCCACCCCCGCCCCCCAAACAGAGAGAGCTAGTAAAATGGCAATGAAGAATGTCTTTAGACCGTGCCTGAAGTCCCTTGGGGGGCAAAATCACCCCTGGTTAAAAACCACGGCTTCGGGGAATCTTACAGACAACATATGTGAATATAACCAATACAGAAACATACCAAACCATAAATATTAGTTGAGAGGTGGTAACTCCTGGGCTGATGTACCTAAATCTTCCAAAGCGCGCTATTCCTTAAATCTGAGTCTAAACCAAAATAAAGATCTTTGGCAAGGTTTCCTATCAGAAGGAATGACAGTGCATCCTCCTAAATCTGTGAGGTTCTTGCCGCTCTCCCCTCTAAGGGCTGGAGGTGCAGGCTATGGTCCTCAAGTCATGTTGGAGGCTACTGAATTTTCAGAATTGTGCTCAAGATCCCGTTCTTTTTCTTCCGGTTTGTTTTCAGTTTGGAAAACATTTATAAAGAGCTGTCTACAGACATAGAGGGTTTCGTTCATCCTGGTCACGGAGATTTATCCGGGTGGGCCAAGCAAGGTGAGCCAACCATTCCTGGATGTGCTTTGGACGGATTTCAGAACACTCTTCTCTTCTGTCCTGCTGGCTTATATTTATCAAAGAACATGAAGAACTAGAGCACTCAACATAAAATGGCTGCGTTTATAGAAATTAAAAAAAAAATGTATCCCCCTTTTTATCCTCTAGCCAATGTTTTCTTTCATGTTTTAATCATGATTCAAAAGAGAAAAATTTGTTTCTCAATATTATTTATTATTTTTAAGTTTATTTATCTTTAATATTTACGCCCAACACGGGGCTTGTACTCACAACCCTGAAGTCTGAGGTCAATAGTCACACGCTCCTCTGACTTAGCCGGCCAGGTGCCCTTTGTTATTAATATTTTAAATTTACCTGCTAACTTGGACCATTTAGGAGATGGCCTCACCTTTCTCATTTCAACACTAGGGCTGTGTTTTTTTGTGTTTAATACCTTTTTACAGGTGTGTCTTTCTCCCTTTCCTTCCCCCTCCCTCCCTCCCTCCCTCCTTCCCTCCCTCCCTTCCTCCCTTCCTTTCTACAAATGACCTATATAAACGTTTTTGTTTCCTTTTGTTATCTTCTAGGGTTACTTAATGTCACATGGGATATACATACATATTTTTTAAGATTTTATTTTGAGAGAGGATCTCAAGCAGACTCCCCGCTGAGCACGGAGCCCGACATGGGGGCTCACTCTCACAATTCCAAAATCATGACCTGAGCCGAAATCAAGAGTTGGATGCTTAACCAACTGGGCCACCCAGGCGCCCCTTGGGATGTATTTTTAAAACAACTCTGATGGGGCGCCTGGGTGGCTCAGTCGTTAAGCGTCTGCTTTCGGCTCAGGTCATGATCCCGGGGTCCTGGGATCGGGCCCCGCGTCGGGCTCCCTGCTCCGCGGGAAGCCTGCTTCTCCCTCTCCCACTCCCCCTGCTTGTGTTCCCTCTCGCTGTGTCTCTCTCTGTCAAATAAATAAACTCCTTAAAAATAAATAAAACAACTCTGATGACACATGTAAGGCCTAGTCATTGATACAAACTCAGAAGATGAGGAAATTGCAGAGATGAACGTACAGTGCTCTCTGATCTTGCCCAGAGGCACCCACCAGTCATGTTGGGATGCTCTCTCTGGAAGCTGATTTCAGAGGGCTGCACTGTGTGTGTGTCTTCCTCTCTGTCTCTCTCTTTTGACTCATTTGCCTCTCAACCTGTTTCTTTGGTATGTGTCCATAGGTGTTCTCTTACTCAATGCTGTGCTCACGGTCCGGGCACATCAGGCTAATTCCCATAAGGAGAGAGGATGGGAGCAGTTTACTGATGCAGTCGTGTCCTGGCTAAATCAGAACTCCAGTGGCCTTGTCTTCTTGCTCTGGGGCTCTTATGCTCAGAAGAAAGGCAGTGCCATCGACAGGGTATGGTGGTTTTGTTTTTAAACATTATTTTATTTTTTTTAATTATATATATTTTTTCTTAACATATAATGTATTGTTTGTATCTGGGGTACAGGTCTGTGATTCATCAGTCTTACACAGTTCACAGCGCTCACCGTAGCACATACCCTCCCCAATGTCTATCACCCAGCCACCCCATCCCTCCCACCCCCCCACCACTCCAGCAACCCTCAGTTTGTTTCCTGACATTAAGAGTCTCATAGTTTGTCTCCCACTCTGATTTTGTCTTGTGTTTTTTAAACATTTTAAACCACTTGAGAAAATACTAGGAATCCCTGCGTGTGGTTCTGGAAAACCCATGGCACAGGGTGAAATTTATTTTCCCTAAAGGCTTATAATTAAGCAAAATTCAGACAAATTATAGGAATGATGAGTTGTGTGTGAAGAAAGCAAAGGGCCAACTTCTGATTTAATAGTTAGTACTATAGGCATACACTTGGCACATAAATAGAATGATGACGGCCTTCACTCACTACACAGACGGTGCAGTAAGCGACCAATAGGGCAAGGACCCCACACCCCCCACGTGCTCCTCTGCTCCTTCTCTGGGTATTTAGGGAAGCACTGACGTGCGTGGGGCTGAGATGAAACACCAGAAGCCATCCTTGAATCCTTTCCCTCATTCCCTTAAACCTACTCCACCAGCAAATCCTGGTCCCCTTACCTCCTGAGCACATCCCAGTGCTGCTGCTCGCTGTTGACACTCCTCACACTGGAGTGAGCCACTGTCACTGCTGTCCGGGCTGTGATAGACCGGGGCTGAGGGGTGGCTGGAGGACAGCATGGTGGAGGAGAGAGGTGGGGCGGGGGGAGGCAGGCATCCAAGGTGAGCCCTGGCCCGGGCTGCTGGGAGACAACCGGCTGCAGAAGCGAGGGTGGGGGAGAAGTCAGCGAGTCAGCACTGCAGTGAGTGAAGTAAAGGGGTTCGGTGAGGTCAGCTGACTGTAGCTTGTGTGACAGCAGGAGGTAGCTGGCCTTTCGGGAATGGCCAAGTGGACTGAATCCCCCACCCCACGTCTGGCATCACACCCAGCACTTTGCCTGCAGAATCTCGCTTAATGCCTCATAAGGTATTAAAGTGATAAAGTTGCAGTGAGTGGCGGGGCGGAGATCGGAGCCCGCTCACCTGGCTCACCTAGGGGCCCGGTGGGGTGTTTTCATGTTCCATGCTGGCAACCCGCTCCCAAGTCTCTCCACTTCTCCATTTTCTCTTAAATGGAATTGGTTTTCATCTTAACTAAGTTTTTTTTAAGGTAAGGTTTACATGATTAAAAAAAAATGAAATAGGCTAGTAAGGTACGCAGCGAGCAGTTTCCCAGCCCAGTCCCTTCTTAAGTTGCTTCCCCGGCTCGGGCAGGCGCTAGCTTACAGTTTCTGATGTCGCCTTCCTGAGTCTTGATGTGAACAGCAGTGGAGTGTGGGAGGCAGGTTGAGTCTATAAAGTTTCTTTGTGGATGAACAAGATGTTTTCAGGTGTTTTGAGGTAGGGAATACTAGGAGTAAAATCTGGCACGAATGAACTAACTGCTAAGGTCGGAGCATGGAGGTAAGTAAGCGCTCCATGGGAGGCTCTCCCATCTCTGTGTGGTCTGCGTAGCTCCCCCTCAGCGTATGTGTAGTTTTTATTACTGAAGATGGTCTGGTTTGACAGGAAACAGTTGTGAGAGTAGTGTGATGATTAGAAGCCAGGTGCATGTCCAGCTGGGTAGCTTTCCCCGAGCACTAGGTCTGTGTATTCAGCTGCCTCCTTACCCGCGACCCCTCAGCACACCAGATTCCACGCTTTCCAAGGTAGGTTCTCCTTTGCTCATCCAGCCTTGCCACACTGGCTCCTGTGGATCCCCGGGAGAGAGAGTACCACCACGCACTTGTCCAGCCAGAAATCGGATAGCATTTGTGACCCCTTCCTCTCTCCTCTCCCCTCTTTCCCTTCTCTAGCTCTGCTCCTCACCTGCGCCCCTCCCCGCCCCATACCCTGTCAGGGCATTCCTTCGTAGCCTTCCCCTGCTCTCAGACTCCTCCTCACCCGGCTGCCTTGGCCTTGGTTCAGGTCATCACCTGATCCTGCTGGAGTGTCAGGTGTGGTCCGCCTGGAAGGCCCTGCTTTGGGCTGGTGGGCTGAGGTCTGGAGCTGCCTCTCGGCCACAGCTCCCCTTTTCCCCTCTCCGCTCCAGGCTGACTGGAGCACCTCCACCTCTTCCTGCCACCCCTTTCCCTGCCTGCCTTTGAACATCCTGCCTCCCCTCTACAGAGGCTGACTTCACTCATCCTTCAAAGCCCAGCACGGCTCACATTTTCAGGGGCCTGAACTGCATGGCAGGCGGCATGCTAGTAAGCACTCAACTTAGGTCACCTCTCAGACTCCCACAATACACACGGGCATTGTTGGTTGGTTTGCTGCGCAGGATCTCCGTAAGCTAGGCGCTGCTAGACCCCCTTGACAGCCGCAGAAGGACGTGCGGCCTGGATTCATTGACTTCTCTGGGGCGGAGTCAGAACGGACCCAGACCACGTGGATCCAGGCTCCCGGTTCTGCACTACACTGGGCTGCCCTGCTGTAGTTATGGCCCCCCCTGGACTGAGCTTTTCGAAGGCAGGGATGCTGTGAAAACAATTAGTTGGGAGGTGGTTTTTATTTAAATACAGAAAAGAAGAAAACAAATGTGGTCCAGTCTTTCCTGCTCTGGAAAGTACGGCTGACATTTAAAAAATCAGTGTTCCGTTTTTGTAGACCATTCAGGTAACACAGAAAAGTGCAAAACCGAAAGTAAATGCCTTCCACTCTTTCCTCACAGAACTACCATAAATAGTGTTTTGGGTCTTTTTCCAGAAAAACTTAGGCAATTACATTTTTTTTCTTCCACTTGATATATTTAGGTTTTCCCTTACCAGCATATGTAGCTCAGCCTTATTCTTCTAGTAGCCTTGTGGTGTTCCATTGTAAGAAGTTCAGAAAACTATTTTTAGCCAGTTGCGTAACCCTGGATTTAGATGAAGCTTTAACCTGGTCCAAGCCGTGCTGCCACAAAGCCCCTTACACCTGCGTCTCCGTGTAGGTACACACATCGTGGGCCCTTCAGCAACTGCATTCTCAGCAGTGCGATTGCGGGGTCCTAAGATCTGGGCACGCGGCCAAACGTGCCGCCCGTGACTCCTCTCCCTCTCTTTCAGAAACGCCACCACGTGCTGCAGACAGCGCACCCCTCCCCGTTGTCGGTATACAGAGGGTTCTTTGGATGTAGACACTTCTCTAAAACCAATGAGCTGCTGAGGAAGTCTGGCAAGGAGCCCATCAACTGGAAGGATCTGTGACCCTGAACTGGAGGGCTGTCCTGGGCAGTTTTCTAGAAGCTGCTATCGAAGTATTTGCCAGGAGTGGCAGGTTGACCCAGAAGAAGCAGCAAAGGCTCTACCCTGGCTGGGACCATATGGCTGTCTTTGCAACACGGCTTCGGCCTAAAACCTGACATTACAATATCTGGGAGAGGGTGGGAGGTCAAGTACAGAGACTTCTGTCTGTCACCTTTATGGTAAAAGAGGACAGGGGACAGAAGCACCTCTTGGTACAGTGGGCTGCTACTTGTTTTTACCTGGCAGGTTAGACTTTAGGTTGTAAGGTGTCAGGTGGGTTTATCGCCCCACCCCCGTGCCCCACCTGGCATTCCAGTTCTTGGCCAAGTACACTGTTCCCTCAGTCCTTTCCCAAACCCTCAGGCCCCCTCCTTGAAGGAGGCAGGAGGACAGTTGGCAAGTGCCCAGAAGTTCAGGGATGAAAATTTCTGAGGACTAATCCTCTGTGAGCCTTCACAGACAGGCAGAGGGAAGTGAGCTGGGGGTGGTTTTCACAGTTAATCCTCTGCGTGTTCCTATGAATGAACAGGGCAAGTTGAACTGGAAGAAAAAGAAGGGAATTTTTTTAATTTTTTTTTTTATTTTTTAAGCGAGGAACTGCTTTTCTCCTAGGTGCATCCTGAGTTGGGGTTTTTAAGGCAGCATAGACTGCCAAAGGCTGTTTTTTATGGACTGAAATCACGTGGGGATTTTTTTTTTTTTTTCCTGCAACACTGGTGAATTTTGCTGTTTTGAAAAATACTTAGATGTATATATGTACTTTGTAATCTTGTCGGGGAGACCATCTTTGTTAGGTCTGCACCTCCATCCTTGATCCTGTTAGAGATGCTGTTGATGGGTTAGCCGGTGAAAGTGTTACCCCCGAGTTTGTTTGGGAATAAAAGATTGTTGGACCCAATCCCCTTCACGCCCGCTCCCTCTGTGCCCTGGGGCGTCTGCAGACGTCCTTGGGCCGACCTTGGGCCCGGGCCGCTGGTGGTGGCCGTGGCAACCGTTGTGGGCCGGAAGGAACGTCCCCGCGCCGCCCCTCCTCTTTCCTCCCGCCCCGCCCCTCGGATGGAGCCGCCCACCCCTCCAGAGGCCGGGGGAGCCCGGGGCGGGTTCCTGGGAGGGGCGCAATGGGGACAGCAGCCTGGGGTCTGCAAGCTGACCCGCCCCGAGCGCCGTGGCGGGGGCTGGACGCGGCCGGGGACCAATGAGACCTGAAGGGGCCATTTGGGGCTGGAAAAAAGCATTTCTCCGGGGATCATGGCTGTGTGTTCTGCCAGGCCCCGGACAGTGCAAGGGGAGCTTCCCCGCCCTCACTCTGCTAGTGTTTCCAGACGCTTCCCTGGGACTCGGGACTGGAGGTTTGAGGCCAGGGCACTGGGAAGACGCCCTGATGGCCCACTGACCTGCTGGCACTTGCGGCTTGGACTCCCCTGGTGTGTGATAGAGAAGGAAGCCAAAAGTGTAGGGAAGGGCCTGATTAACAACGCGCTGGCATTTCAGTGGGCGAGAGAAAAAAAAATGCATCCAATGAGAAAGACTTGACCTCATTTCTTGTTTGGGGTAGAGATTTGAAAACCTGTTGCTGGAGAATATTGCTTCCCATGCAGGCCTTCGTTTTCTTGACATCTGGGAAGGAGGGTGTACTAACTGCCTTGTGCCATCAGCAAGCAGGCTTTCACCCAAGGAGGGTGCCAGACAAGGGTGCCTTCTCAATTTGCCCTCTGGTAACTGTGGGGCCTCCCTTAGACATTACAGTGGACTCCCTGATCCAAGGGAGAAAGGAAGGAATCCTATCGCTACATCAGGTTTTAATAAAGGCTTCTCTCCCAAGGCAGTGCTGCGAGTAGGGAAGAAGCCCCAAGCCCTGTGTTCTTTTTTTTTTTTTTTTAAGATTTTATTTATTTGACAGAGAGACACACAGCAAGAGAGGGAACACAAGTAAGGGGAGAGGGAAAAGCAGACCCACTGCTGAGCAGGGAGCCCGATGCGGGCCTTGATCCCAGGACCCTGGGATCATGACCTGAGCCAAAGGCAGACGCTTAACAACTGAGCCACCCAGGCGCCTCTGCTTTTTCTCTTATAATACAGTGACACATCTAGTGATGCTTTGAACAGAACACAGAGCTGTGTGTCAAGTGGTTTATGACCACCCCTCCTCAAAAAGAAAAGCAAATTTAATCACTTGCTTTTAAGAAACAAGGCTCATTTTGATGAACTTTTAGCTACACAGTTGTGGGTTTTCCTCCACGTTTTTGGATGTGCTATGATCACAGCACTAGATCTGCAAAAATGATTAAAAGGCAATCTTGGCCTTTTAGGTTGGGAGTCAGCATATTTTTTCTACATAAAGGGTCTATATAATATTTTAGGCTCTGCAGTCATCCTGCCCACGAGAACCACTCTACATTCCCTTGTAGAGACAGTAGCCACGTGCAAAATGTAAATGAGCAGGTGCAGCTGCCTTCCAATAAAACTAGAGATGCTGAAATTAAAATTGAATATGATTTGCGTGTGTTGGGAAATCTTTGATTTCCCGCCCCCCCCCCCTCAGCATTTAACAAATGTAAAAACCGCTCTTAGTTTGAAAGCCACAGGAAAACGGGCAGCACGGACCCCAGTTGGCAGGCCTCTGTTCTAGGAGCCCCCACTCAGATGTCTGCCATGACGGCGCCCACATTTTGCATCCAGCAACAGGGCAGTGCTGCATGGCCCATTGTGGGAGCATGTGAGAAGCCCGCCCAGGAAGTCTTCCTTCTCAGGCAAGGAGAAGAGCATCTGCTGAGGGCTTTTGGAAAACAAGGAAGTCAGTTACTGCAAAATGTCCTGCGAACCCCAAGTTATAAGATAATCGTGTGGACGTCACCATGAACTGAGTCCAACAAGGCAAAGTTGGAGAATGGGAGTTTTGTTTTTTTTTTTTTTAGACTTCAGCATGTTGTTAGTATGCTCCCATTATTACATAATACATTCTGTCCCTCTTAAAATGTACTCTCTGCTTTGGTTTGCACCTAGAATAAAAAGCCTTAGAGTTTGGGACTGGAGAAGCAAACTTTATGAGGCATATGTGTGTGGCAGTGGCTTTTCATCCTTGTCGATCCTTCGAGACCTACAAGGAAAAACAGGTAGGACATTCTGGGCTACCTCGGAGAGTCCTTGTTGACTGGTGGTGAGCCAAGCTAAGAAAAGTCTGGAACTTGGGTGGCCTCTCTTCCTCCTTAGAGTCCTAACACACTTTGAATCTGGGTTTCACAACCTCAGGTCACCTTGTTGATTAACTCGGTTGGAATCTGTTTTTAAATTTTTGAAGTATGGGCACCTGGGTGGCTCAGTTGGTTAAGCAACTGCCTTCGGCTCAGGTCATGATCCTGGAGTCCCTGGATCGAGTCCCGCATCGGGCTCCCTGCTCGGCAGGGAGTCTGCTTCTCCCTCTGACCCTCCCCCCGTCATGTGCTCTCTCTGTCTCTCTCACACTCTCTCTCAAATAAATAAATAAAATCTTTAAAAAATAAATAAATTTTTGAAGTATGTTTGGAAATGCAAATGTTGGTGAATGGGGCAGACCAAGAGATCAATACTTTGCATTCTTTGCTACTCAGTTGTGGATTCCCTGAGCCCAGTCCCTCCCAGCTAGTGGCATTTGCAGTGGTGGGGACCCAGAGGCTTTAAACAAACCCTTAGTATGCCTTAAGCCTCACCACAGATGCTCACCTGGGTGAGGCAGGCAGGCCAGGTCCAAGGATCCAGAGGGTCCTGTCCAGCCATGAGAGTCCTTGGCTTTCATGCAAGGTGGAAATCAAACACAAGCCTTCAGGAAGTGAGCGGAGTTTATGGAAGACAACAGATACACAGCGTCTGGAAGACTCGGAAAGGAACCGGAGCATGAGTCTCATTTTTGCCTGGGGTCTGGGGTTTTTACTGACTGATTATGGTCTCGGGCACGTGTCCTCCCAGGCAGCTAGGAACTGGTGAGAACAACGACAGGGTCCAAGTGTCCATTCTAAGGCACTTACTCCCTGGAACCAGTGGGTCTTGGAGTGAGGCTGTCTAGCGCCAGTGGTCTGGAATATGCACGTGATGGCTTCGTCCGATCCTTCCTGAGATACTCTCTTTTGTGCTGGAAGACTCCAAAGCTAACCATTAACTCCTTGTCCCTTGTGAGGAGAACATATATTAAGGCACATGTAGGGCAGGGGTGCAGGTCCTAGCAAGAATAAAAGCAGGAAAAGATGAAAGAAAAGCCAGCTTTTTCTTTCATGGGGTCCCTTCGGTTTCCCAGTCTCATGGGGAAAATAAAAAATATCAATGCCAGGCTCACTTCCAGAAAGTGATAGAATTGGTCCTCAAGGAGAAGCGGAGACATCGGTATTTTTATGAAGTGTCCAGTTTATAGCAGGACCAGCAACCTCTTTCTAGAGGCCCTGTTTTCCTTATGCCGTGTGGTCGCTTAATTTTTTTCTTTTTGGTGATAATGATACTTAGGACTTTCTGAATCTAAGATGTATTTGAAGAAATCTATTTCTCTATGACTGTTGTGTTTGGTGGGAAAAGTTTACGAACGTACTCACTGGTCTCAAGCCTATCATTCGGCTTCTAAAAAATACCTATGACCGTAAAAAGAGAGTGTCGAGGGATCGCGGAGCTACCAGAATGAGTGTGTGTATGTGTGTGTGTGTGTGTGTGTGTGTGTGTGTGTGTGTGTGTGTAGGGGAGCTGAGAATGTTTGTAGTCTTTTGGAAAGTACAAGTTTCATTAGGGAGCCATTCAAAGCCCCTGTTATGAGCAAGTCACTACGCCAGAAGCTCGGCGTATGTCATTTTATTTCCTTTTTCCCAACCACGTGGTGAAATAGCTGCATGAGGAAACAGACTCAGTCGTTTGCCCAGAGCCACAGGTAGGGGAGTCAGGACTCGAACACGAGTGAGCCTGGTTTCAAAGCCCAGTCGTCTTGCCACTACTTACACTCTGCCCAGATCATTGTTATCGATGTTCTCAGGGGGGGATTTCTGAATGGAGTTTATACAGATTTCCTTAAGTCACGGATAGCTCTCCCAGGAAAAACAGGACACATCTGTAGCTGAAAATGTGCCCCATTGAGAGGATTGTGCGAGCTACCCCTGAGGGACCGACGTTTGGATGAGTCACCGAAGCCCCAGCCTTGGGGCCGCGGATCAGGAAGGAGGGAAGGTGTGCGGGCCACGCACAAGACCTCCGCTCCCATCAAACGGATGATTTCATCCTCCCCTCCTATAAAGCGTGCGTGGTTGCTATCCCCGCCTACAGCCGACAGAATGAAGGCCTCAAGAGCAGGCCCAAAGTGCGCTTCCTGCTACAAGTGCAGCGGAGAAGATTCTGAGTCCAGTGTGCTGACTTTTCCTATCTGGAAAACAAGCCCGCAGAGGAAGTGGCTCTGGCTGCACCTGCCGCCATTTAAACCGCTTTGCGTCGGTTCAGGCTCTCGCAGGGTTTTAACACTTGCTCTTCAGGGAGGCACATCCTGGGTCGACTGAGATCGGGGCCGCCAAGCTGCCGTCCCCCCTTTTGTCAGAGCACAGTGCCCTTTTGTGTGGCTTCTGCTCTCCCTGCTCTGGGTTGGACCTGGAGGTGACCTTAGTCCCACATGCGTCCCGTCCTCCCCGTGGCACAGAAGGCTGGCAGTGTGGGCTGGGTGCCAGTGAGAACCAGCCGAACCAGCATGGAAGTGGACTAATTTGGGGTTGTTTGTGGGGTTTTTTCCCTCTCCCTAAGCCACAAGAAATGGGACACATTTTATTGAGCGGCGTTTTCATTCAGAAGGTTTTATGAAATCTTTTCCAGGATGGGGTGGGGGGTGGGTGTGTGTGTGGAGAGAAGCCAGGTGATCCTTGGATGACAGTTGCATCAACCCCTGGGAGCTTTTCCCGGCGGGCT